TTCTACTCCCGTAAAGATTTACACCCTCGGAAACCCTGTACAGGGTCGCTATGGGTCGGACCCGACTTGATGGCACTTAACAACAACAACAACAACCTCCATAAATATAGGTCAAGTTCATCAAATTGTAGCAATTCACCTTCATTTCCTTAATCTAAATAATTGTTTTAATATTCCTCTAGTTGAGTTCTGATTATCAAGTCATTGAGGCTAGATAAGATGTGTAGGTTTGGGTATTCTTGTGCTTCTCCCCTCAATTCATATCAGCTGAATGCTTCACTCTCAGCTCTAGCCCTCTGTGGCTACGTCTGTCCATGGGCTCCAGTAGGTGTCTACAGGTCTGTCACCACACTTTGGACCAACCAGCCCTTCCCCTTCTCTCTCTCATCTTCAGGTCAACAGGAGTCTATGGAACGTGGTTGAATTCAGCCCATTTCTTCATTGTTGCCTTACCCCCTCTTCCACTCATCAGTGGTAGACCAATGTGGTCACCAGCAAGCTTGCATGCCTGCTCGTGTGTTCCCTTTGAATTTCAGTTTTAGAGGTGGATTTGTCCTGAAGGAACTTGATTGCTTGCCTTGATGACTTCCTGGCAAACAACTTGCTTATTCTTGCCAGTCATACTGCCATTTTTGTTTTGGGTTTTTCCGGATGATCTTTCTTGGAAGATGTGTCTTCTTTCGCTCTAGCTGTTCCAAGCTGGTCTGCTTGTCCTTTGTAGTGGGAATGTTCCACCTCAGAAGGTTCTGGATGGGGCTCAGGATTCCACCTAAGGTCTTACACACTGCAATAGGGCTTTGTGATACAGGGATCAAGGCATAGTTTGAAGAGGGGAAATAATACTAAGATTAATATTGATCTATTAATAATAACACTAATATTAATATAATTAATAAATACTAATATCAATACTAAATAATAATAAATAATGCAAAAGGTCTATTTCACTGGTAAAGTTGTGGAACCCCTTTTAGGTATTCTAATCAGTTATAGGCTGAAGACGGGCTTACAAGCTTTCTGTTTTCATGTTTCCTCACATTTCTATTTCTAATCCACTCAAGTGTCTATTTTACAATAGTAGGCAAGAGAAACCAATATACATAAGACAGTCAAGCATCTTAGTATTATCTCCCCTCTGCAAACTATGCCTTGATCCCTGTATCACAAAGCCCTATTGTTCCAAGGTTGATGAAGGATCATTTTTAAGAATCTTAGAAGAAGTGAAAAAGCCTCAAAATTCATGTCTGCTTACTAATTAAATCAACCTTCATTAATGTTTACTATTTTTTTCTGTCCTCTCCTCTCGTGATAGTTGTTGTTGTTTTCACGTGCCATTGAGTCAATTCCAACTCATAGTGACACTCGCTAGAGTTTCCGAGGAGCAGCTAATGCGTTTGAACTGCTGGCCTTAAGGCTTGCAGTCCAGTGCTGATCCTACAGTGCCACACTTGTAGTACATATTTAATACATGCAGGCACTTCCCCAGGCTATGAAGGAGGTCATTAAGAATGTGTACTGAGGCAGAATAGACGTACGTGCTTCTTATTTAGCCTTACTTTGTGCAGAAGAAGCCTTGGTGGTGCTGTGTGTTAGGCTTTGGGATATTAACCTCAGGATTGGCAGTTCAAACCCACCAGCTGCTCAGTGGGAGAAAGATGAGGCTGTCTGCTCTCATAAAGAAATACAGCCTTGTTGGAATCGACTCCAGGGCAGTGGTTTTTTTTAGTGTAAAAGCAGCACATGCAGCATGGCAAATGAAGGTGATTGTGTTGAAGAATTTGCTAGTGGGACTCGTTCAGAGGGAGGGGACTTAAACCAAAAACCTGTTGCTGTAGAGTTAGTTCTGGCTCATAGCAATCCTTTGGGATAGAGTAGAACTGCCCGGTGTGGTTTCCAAGGCTGTAAATCTGTATGGCAGCAGACTGCCATAACTTTCACATGTGATGTGACCTAAAGATTAGCAGTTTGAATTCACCCAAAGATGCCTAGAAAAGCCTGTTTCTGAAAGGTCACAGCCTTGAAAACCCCATGTAGAGTTCTACTCTACAAACTTGGGGTCACCAGTGACTTGCAATTGACTCGGTGGCAACAACAATTTATGGATAGAACTTTTCTTAGACTTTAAGTTTATATGGGATTAGAGAGATTTTTGGAGTCCAGGGGGTGGCGCTCTGTGGGTTAATGCGCTGGACTGCAAAGTTGGTTTGAACTGCAAGGTTGGCTATTTCAAGCTTACTAGTCTCTCCTTGAAAACCCTATACAGGGTCACTGTGGGTCAGAACCGACTCAGCACCACTTAACAGCAACAGGAGAGACTTTTAAGAATAGAGAATTAAAAAAAAAAAATTTCTTTCAGGTTGTTTTCAATTGCTCTTTATAAATAGATATATTCAGATATGAATCCCATTGTACACTCACTGCTGTTTAATTGTTGGCAGAACCTAGATTAAATGAATGGAATATAGGATGCCTGGAGTCCTGGTGAATAAGCACGATCATAAGATCAGTTTGAACCACAGGGTCAGGGGTTCAAACTTACCAGCTGCTCCTTGGAAATCCTATATAGGGTCACTGTGAGCTGGAACTGACGTGATAGCACTTAACAACAACATAGGATGCTTGGTACTAAAAATTTAATCCCTGAATTTTATGAACAATTAAAATTATTTTAAATTCTGTAGTCCTTAAGGATCCTAATGATCATAAAAATACCTTGTGTGTCTGGTATACTTGGAATTTTTACTGGGTTAGATTTATAACTCTTACTGGTTCCACTAGTAATCAAATGGTATGGTCTTTCACCAGATACCCATCTACCCTGGTCCCAGTATTCAGATTTGTTTAATATCTTCATTGAACCAGGTCTGGAGTTTTTTATACATGATTTTTAGGACACTTTTTCCTTTAAATAAATTTTTATGGAGTTATAGGATAGAACATAGTGTTATTTTTATTATTATTATATAAATGTAAATTTTAGATTAGAGTCTAAGTAGAAATTTTTGAAATGATATGTAACACATTTAGGGTATTAAAAAGTACTTATATTTTAGTTAAATGTTTAGGAAACATTTGCCTGTATTTGCATAGTTGTAAGTGGCAGAGCTTCAACCAACTTAGACCTGTTTGACTGGAGAGTTCTTTCTGTCTTACTGTATAACTTTAAAAAAATCAATTAAAAATGAATATAAATTATGAATCTAGATATGTTATTTAGGGCTTATTTCCATATGTTTTGTTACTTTAATATTTGAAAGAAATTTGTGCTAATTTTATGACTAATTATTTCCTTTCCTCCCCCCCCAGGGAAATGAGGCAAGTTACCCTTTGGAAATGTGCTCACACTGTAAGTCAAATTAAATATTCTTATTATCAAGAGTTTTCATTTTCATTGTAATCTTTTCCAGAAGAAATGGGTAGTACCAGGCTACCAGTACACTGAGTGTTTTGTTCAAAGACTCTATAGGGGACTCCCGTCAAAAGGAGGGTGGCGGAAATGTGGAACATAATTTCAAATTCTCATGGAATACAGGCTTCCTGGAGCCATTGAAATTGAATGATCCTTTCATACATCGCCAAAACAAATGTCTTAAGATAATCTTTAAACCTTAAACCTAAACTATCTCCTGAAATCATCTTTAAAACAAACAATTGGTTTAATTAGTAAAGAATGTTCTTAGTGAATGTTATGCTCTTTTAAAGAACCATTTGTATGTGATTAAATGGATAACAGCACCTCAAAAGGTTCCATGAGAACTTTAGGGAGCAGTGAGTTTGTTAATGGTAGTAGAAACATTTGGAAAACAAAAAGAGTGGTTGTGCCACTTGAATGTAATCAGTATCACTGAACTGTACATGTGGAAGCTACTGTATTGGTATGTTTTGGGTGTGTTTCCACCACACAAGAAAGTTTGTTTTATTTGTGTGCACACACATATATATGCATACGTATATATGTGTGTGTATTTACTTTATATTGTTGTTGTCACGTGCCGTTGAGTTGGTTCGAACTTACGCACAGCAGAACAATATACTGCCTGTTTCTGTGCCATCCGCACAATCCTTATTACATTTGAGCCCAATGATGCTGCTACTGGCTGATTCATCTCATTAGAGGGATCCTTCTTGTTTTCACTGACCGTCCATGTTACTTAGTATGATGTCCTTCTCCAGGGAGTGGTCCCTCCTGATAATATATTGGAAGTATGAGAGAAGTAGTCTTGCCATTCTGGCCTCTAAGGAGCATTCTGGCTGCACATCTTCCAACACAGATTTGTTTGTTCTTTTGGCAGTCCATAGTACTTTTAATATTCTCCAACATCATAATCAGATGCATTTATTCATATGCATATGAGTCTGTTGAAAAATACCATGACTTGACCCAGTTTATTCCTCAAACTGAAATCTTTGCTCTTGAACACTTGAAACGAGGTTTTGTGCAGTAGGTAGCTTAATGCAGTGCATTGTTTGCTTTCTGAATTGCTCCTTCCACAAGTATTGGTAGTGGATCCCAGCAAAATGAGGTCTTTGACAACTTCAATCTTTTTTCTGTTTATCATGATGTTATTTATTGGGCCAGTTGTGAGGATTTTTGTTTTCTTAGTATTGAGGTGTAATCCATACTGAATGTTGTACTCTGTGATCCACATCATTATTTTAGATCCTCTTCGCTTCCAGAAAGCAAAGTTGTATTATCTGCATATTGCAGGTTAAGTCTTCCTAAATTCTGATGCAGACATGTTTAAACATGTTTTGTTTGGAGCATACATGTTCCAGTGCATTATGAATTGGAGCTCTTAGTAACAATGCTTTTTAACTTACCATCATATATAAAAGTTAATTATTTAAAATGTGTAGTACATTTGTGGTACAGTCTTTTAAGTTATCAGAGAAGGAAAATAACTTAAAAGGCCTGTGTTATTGTTAAGGACTTTTGGTGTGGCTCTGTAGGATCAACACTGGACTGAAAACCACAAGTTTGCAGTTCACACCTACCAGCTGCTCCTCGAAATATAGGGTCGCTATGAGTTGGAACTAATTCTGTGGCACTTAATCACAACAACAATAATTATCTGTAATATGTAAGGAGCTCTGGTAGCGTAGTGGTTACGAATCGGGCTGCGAACCTTAAGGTCAGCGGTTCGAAACTTCCAGCCGCTCCGCGGGAGAAAGATGAGGCTTTCTACTCCCGTAAAGATTTACACCCTCGGTAACCCTATACAGGGTCGCTATGGGTCGGAACCGACTCAATGGCACATAACAACTACAACAACAAATGCTGTAGTTACAGATAGGTAAGCCCTCAAATCTCAGTGGCTTAACCCACCAGCAGTTTTTCAGGTGAGCTCTCAGGAGGGTATATTTCTCCTCTTTTGGTGACTCAGGGATACAGACTTCTTCATCTTATAGTACTACCTTTCAGTGCTGTTTATTTTTTAAACTTCCAGAGAGAGGTGAGTGAGGTGTGTGTGATCATTTCTTTGTTATCTGACTGAATGGTGAACTTCCAAATTAGTACAAATCTGTTTAAAAATATTTTCTAGTTCTTGGGCAACATTTACCTAAGGACAGAGTTGGGAAGGTGGAATGCAAATAGGAACCAAAGGGACGAATTGGGATAACTGTTGTTGCTTAGAGGGAATTGTAATCATTGAGACAAAACAAAATTATGATTTGTCGAACTGATGATCTTATCGCTAAACCTCACTCAATTTTCAATAAAAAGTAAAAAACAAGTAAATAAAAACAATTTACTTGTATTAATCATACATTAAGGAGCCTTGGTGACACAGTGAATAAAGTGATTGACTACTAACCCCCCAAAAAGAAGGTTGGCGGTTTAAACCCACCAGGCATCCTGTAGACGAAAGATACAGCAGTCTTCCATACAGATTTACAACTTTGGAAATACTCACTATAGGGTTGCTATGAGTTAAAATTTACTTGATAGCAATGGGTTTTTGGTTAGTTGTTGTTGTTGTTGTTTAGTGCCGTCGAGTCAGTTCCGACCCATAGCGACCCTGTACAGGGTTTCCGAAGTAGTGTGTTAGAATAAATACAAGACAATGGTTTAGCAACATAAGACCTGATCATTCCCTATTTATGGTCTGTTTTATCTAGCGCATATTTTTTACTTTTCTTTAAGAAGTACAAGATATCATCACCACAGTTTAGTTCCAGTATATTTTTGTTTTGATTAGTTCTTGGGTTAGAAATAAAGTAAAACAAAACAAAATAATTTGACCTATAGTGTTGGTTGTTGTGTGCTGCGGTGTCAGTTCTGACTCACAGTAACCTTGTATAGAGTTTTCAAGGCCATAAGTCTTTATGGGAACAGAAGGCTTCATCTTTCTCCTGTAGAGTGGCTGGTAGGTTTGAACTGATGACCTTGTGGTTAGCAGCTTAACTTGTAACACATTACACTACTTGTTTCATGCCATTGACGCGGTTCTGACCCATACTGACCCTGTATAGTGTTTCTGAGGAGTGACTGGTGAGTTTGAACCACTCACCTTATGGTTCAGACTGATCTTGTCAAGTGTTTATCCTACAGCACCACACCAGAATTCCAGCTACACTACTAGTGGCCCTAATTTGACATATAAGACCAACATATTTATTTTCTCCTAAAGTTTATTTTCCTTAAATTTTAGTATTCAGAAATAAAGATAAAGACTTAGTGACTCTTAAGTCCTGGATCGCTCTGTTCTTGAAGACAGTCTAGTCAGGGCTTTTCACTCTTTTTTTCATCATCCTCTCCTCACAACATCTTCAAAAGATTTTATTTCTATTTTATTTTTTTCTGTTCTGTGGGTAACTTCATTCTCTACATTACTTTAATTCCTTTTTATACTTTCCTATTGTTTCTTGAATATAAAAAAATCATGTTTTTGTTGTTGTTAAGTTCTGTCGAGTCAGTTCCAACCCATAGTGGCCCTGTATAGGGTTTCTGAGGAATGGCTGGTAGGTTTGAGCCACCAACCGTGGGTTAGCAGTCCAGTGCTTATCCTCCAGTGCCACACGTTTTATTTAGATGTTGCAGAAATGACGTAGAGGCCATGTCTGACTTCCTCTGATTGGGAAGTAGAAGAATCAAACTCAAAATCAGCCCAAGGCTGATTCATATGAAGCAGAGGTCACACGTGTTTGCATCCTACAACCTTCTTTACCTGATTTTGACACCAACTATACCTCCCACAGCATCCTTGTTTCTCTGCTGGGTTTGATAATTCATTGCAATGACCACACAGAAGCAGCAGCATGGAGAGACAGAACAGTTGTGGGCTTCCCGACTCATAGGCTGAGTAAAGCTGAGTGCCTTCAGGCAGAAGTGTGACTTGCAGAATGTGCCAGCTCATAATTATCAATTTATTGCGGAAGTGAACAGGGTACAATTTAGGTTCAAAAACACCTCAGGATGCAACAGTCCTGCCATTCGGAATGCCTGTTCACTGCTATCCTGTAGCATGCTTTGTCCCCCCCTCCCCCTCTTCAAAGGCAGCCACATGGCTCCTACTCCCACTTTAGCCAGTCTGTAAATGCCCATAGGGCACATTCTGCAAGTCAGCCTCCTGCTCAGAGGCACTTAGCTTTACTTGGCCCTCACCTCCGCCACTGCCTCTGATAACATAGCTTTTCTGGGTAGGGATCTCTGAAAAGAAATAGTTGCAAACATCCATTAGTAATTGATATGTAAAAATGTATGATGTATGAATCTAGGAAAATTGGATATTGCCAAAAATGAAATGAGATGTTTGTAGATCCATATACTGACGTTGTTGTTAGTGCTGTTGAGTTGATTTTGACTCATACGACCCTCTATAAGGTTTCCAAGGAGCAACTGGTAGGTTTGCACTGCTCACATTGTGGTTCACAGTCCAGTGCTGATCCTACAGTGCCACATCAGGAGTCAGTATACTGACATTGTTGTTGTTGTTGTTGTGTGCCATCGAGTCGGGTCCGACCCATAGCGACCCTGTACAGGGTTTCCGAGGGTGTGCTGAAATGGACTGGTTTTGCCCATTTTGAATCAGACCATTGCATGGTTGTGAACTGTTCTGGGAATAACAAAAGGATGCTATCGTTGTTGTTAAATGCCATTGAGTTGGTTTTGACTCAGCGACCCCCTTATAGGGTTTCCAAGAAGCAGCTGGTGGGTTTGAACCACCAACCTTGTGGTTAGCAGGCCAGTGTTTTTAGTAAACAAATTTATTTCCTCACAGTTTAGGAAACTGGAAGTTCGAATTTAGGGTGCTCTGTTAGTTGCAAAGAAAAATGTACTAAAGCAGAAGTTCGTTTTACACATCCAGGATGGCAAAAGCTAGTTGGTTATTTTTTATAGTGTTT